TTGCCGCCATCTCACATATATTCATGCATATGTAATTTAATGAATAAACTGACTTTCATGATTACATCATTTTCAAAGCAAGGCCTTGTTTTAGGAAAGTGTTGAGTTTAACTAAGGATACTTTGCTTTATATGATATGAAATTCCCTTCCTGACCTGTCACAGTTCTTAAACATATGGCTATTTTAATCTGATCAGAAACACTAGAAAGTTAAGAAGATATGGAATGTTTTAATCACAAATGGGAGTTCTTCAAAGGTATTTGGTGGAGTGAAGTTGTATAAAGGATGTATAAATGCTGCAAAAACAGACTGAAATATTTTGATGATATCAGAAGGAAAAAAGGGGGTGTTTAGGATGCAAATTTGGAAAAACAAACAGTGAAAGATTGCAGCTTGTATGGTTCTGGGGTGTCAATATACCTAGTGGCTTTGGTCCTGGCCTCCATGTAGTGTTGCACTCAGGAAAGAGCCTTCCACATTCTTAAAGAAGGTGGACACAGCAGAGGGGCAGCCTGGGAACATCTCAGTGGCTCAGCATCTTTCTACCTTGCACATGTGCTTGGTAGTGACAAGCAGATGAAGCTCTTTGCTCCTGTGATACCATCACAGCATTCTTTGGAGAGTTTTAAAGTAGATGCCACACTTCTAAGGATAAACCATACCTACCTTCAGGAGTCACTGGCCATCCCGTGTATATCCTGAGTGTCCATTTGCAAAGACATTGGTATGAGTTCCATGATGGCTTATTTCAAAATGCTTCTTAGACAATTCCTCAGAGGACACCATATTTTTTTCTTGTAAATTCACTTCTATACCATCCATTTAAGTTTCAAATTTGTGTTCCTTAAAATACCCAGTTACTCCAAGTTGCTTTATGACTAAATAAGTTTGGAAAATTCTATGTAGATTCCTTTCTTGGAGAATTACCACTAAATCACTGTTTAGACTATCAGTATTTTCCAAATTTATCCATCACCATGTAAAACCAATGAATATTTAGAAGTACTAATATTTGGGATATTGATATTTAAATTCAGGATTGTTGTGTTGATTGAAACAGAGAATGCACATGGTTTCTAATGTGTAAACCTAATCAGGCCTCCATTAAAGTACAGTGATTATTATCAAACTTAGGTAAAAGTTCTCCTATATTCTGAGCAACACACACAAAGAAGACTAAAACTGACTCTGCCAGCTGCTAATGGGTGATACTATGTGAGTGGAGACGGCTATTACATTCCTTTTCTCTTATACAGTAATTCATTTGGGGCCAGTGGAGGAGAGGATGTGAATCCAGGAGAGCACAGGGTTACTGGCCACAGCTGACAGTCTACAGAACACTCAGGTGCATTATTTTCTTTCAGGGCAGCTGGATGACCACCTCTGGCACTCAGTCCCAGGCAGGTACACAAACTGAATCAGGACACACCTCTGGTTCTCATGGGTCACTCTGAGTTGCTTTGATTTTGAGTCTAACAGTGACTTGTCCCTGCTCAACTGCTTTTGCTTTCATTCAGACAACAAAGTGCACTACTGTGTTAGATCTTTGTCAGGGTGTCATCAGAACCCTGGCATTCCACATTGTGACCTCTTCAACTCCCTGGAGCCAGTGAGTCTGAAGTCCAAGATCTCTGGGTCCTAACCTAAGGTATTGGCACCCACCCACCTTATTTTCTAAAAACCTCTGATGAGGCTAAGAGTCTCTCACAGGAGTCCTTTAGCCACAAACAACATGTCTCGAACAATCTGCATCCACAGGAAACTGTTGGGGGCCACCCTGAACTGGAACGGAGCACACCCCCTTAGCCCTGAATAATGGGGATATAAAACTGGCATAGCACGCAGTACAGGGCAGGTGGGCCTCACCTTTGCTTAGCAAGGGAGTGCAGCTCTGGGAGTGGGTATCACCCAATGGGACTGGACTACACCTCTGTGTTTGCTTTAACACAATCCCTTGTCTTATTTGGGTGGAATTTTCTATCCAATGTCTTTCCCCTAAATGAAAACAAGGGTACAGGGTATGCTCACTCTCTTGCCTCTTGCCTCCCTTGTTCCCCTTGCCCTCTAACATGGGAGCTGAGGTCTCAGAGCAGACCTTGAACCTCCAAAAAGGTATTTCTGTGCTTGGGTCTTTTCATTACCAGCCCATTTCATGTGGAGTGACCCTGATTCCATTGCCCACGTGGGACGTGGGCGACAGGAACTGCTGCTTTTCCCTGGCTCTGAATCTTTCCAGAAAAATCTTCTACTCTGGAAGAAGCATTAAGGCCAATGGACAGGATCCTAAAGCAGTGCTGTGGGATAAGCGGAAGTTTGGGTGGATCGCTGCTTTGGGCATGCTTGCCCAGTTGCAGCCTGTTATTCTCTGCCCAACTTCTCTGCCCTGAATAGAACCTGGGTTCTGTCAGTGTTCAAAACATTAGGAAGATTCCCTACTACTGGTCCAGTCACTGCCAAGGGTTCCTCTCTCAGATTGGCATAATCCATGATAAGCACTAAATTCAGGAAAGGAGGTAGAGTTTTCTTGCCACCATGTTGCCAGCACATTCCAGATGTGATGGGGAGGCTAAAGATCTGATCTCTCACAAAAAGTGAATGATATATGTCAATGAAAATGAGGCCCAAAGGGTGGTGGAATGAATTAAGTTTATCTTCTATAACGATGCTAGGCTTAAGTTTCTAACACTTAGGGATAGATGAGGGGTCTTAAAAATGGCTGTAAAACTCTTTTACATGCCTCCCATCAAGATGTGAGGTTTATGTGTTGTGATGGCAAAAGTGCGACATCTGTAGTTGAGGGGAGAGATAAAGAATGTCCATGGACTTCTGCCATTTCTAATATTTTATTTACTCAAATCACTTGGTACAATTTCACTCTATAGGTTATTAATCAAGGAATGACAATCCTTAATTCTGGGCATTGCAATAGTCATGATCAATTCAAAGCAAACAATTCTAAGCTAATTCCAAGCACTGCAAACACAATCATGACAGACCTATTACAGACATTCCTTCCTCATGCTGAGCTTAAGTGCTAGATTCAAAGTCTTAAGTCTTAGATCTTAAGTCCAGCAGAAGCACACTCAGACTGCAGCGACCAGGTCAGGAACCAATAGAGGCTTTTCCTGGGGTGGAGTTCATGGCTGGGTGAGGAGAAAGCTGCTGTATAGTTGGAAAGCAGTGAGGATGAGGCAGAGGATTAGGCAGATGAGAAGAGTTGGGGTGTCAGGCTCTCAGGCTTGTGTGCTTCAGTGTTGGATGGCTGAATATCTGTCCCTTTGCTCCATCATTTATGCTAACTCTGAGGGCTTCTGACAGCCCTTTCAATCCCTATCAGCTGTTACCAGGTTTCTCAGTGATGTCCTTCATTCTGAGGTCAAGCCATTTCATATGGTGGTCTCCGCCCTGAACTCTTGCCTTTTGTGTTTATCAGGGCAAAGGCAAATGACAGAGACTTCACTCTGAGTTTTATCAGGGTTGTGGAAGGTGACTTATTTTATCAGGCTATGCCTAATGACCATATTGGAGGGCTCCATAGGCATGTCTAGTGGGGACTGAAGTTTTATTTCAAAATGGAGTTACTTAGGCTAAGGCCCTTCTTAAGTTAAGGTTATCCTTACGTCTTAAGGCTCTCCTTATGTCTCCTGCCTGGAAACATAAATAGACTTGTAACTACTTCAAACAATAAAATATGATGGAGGTGGTACTATGTGACCACCAAGGCTGGATGATAAGAAGCAATGAGACTTTTGCCTTGCCCATTGAAACCCTTGTACTGGAGCTACAAGCTGTCAACTTTTATGTTAGACTATCCTGAGGCTGCCATGTTTGGAGGACACCCAGATGCATGGAGAGGACTCATATATGCACTCTGGTCAAAGATCTTGCAGAGCTCAGTGTGCAAGACATCTCAGCCCAGGTGCCAGACATGTGAATGGAGACTCCCAATGATTCTAGCCTCCAGCCATCAAGTCCCCCTCATGTCTCTGAGTCTTCCTAGATGAGATACCAAAGAACACGAAGCAGAGGCAAGCCATCTCCCTGTACTCTGTCCTAATTTCTGACCCAACAGAACCTGTAACCATAATTCACTACTAATTTTTTGAGGCAGTTTGCTATTCAACCATAGTATCCAAAACAGATCTTGATGATAGTGGAAGCCTCTTCCACTCCCATACTTGAAAATCTAATATTCTTGAGGAAAAAACAGATCTGTTCATGGCAGTTTGTGCCAAATAATTGTTTGTTTTTTGAAAGGATTAATGCTTAGTATTGTAACATAAGGTGGCAGGTTTTATGCAGAGTGCAAGAATAGTTATGTTCTCAGCACAAATAACATGTAAAATGATGTGTACATTTTTTCTATCATGAGGAAGACAATATTCCATGTACAGTATTAAAATAAGTTAAATGAGTGAGAATTTTTAGACAAATTCTTCAGTATATGAAACTAAGGTATTTCTATGCTATAAGACAACAGACATATACAGTTAAAATTTATTATATGGGTATCAGGCACTGCTCAAAACACAACATCCTTCTATCCATCCATCTATCCAGCCTGCCAACCAACTTAGACAGTGGCAAAAGAAATTATCAAAAAAAGGGGAAATAAGTAGATAGCACTTCCCCCATCAAGCAGTTGCTAACACCTCTGAAGGAGGGGAAAGGTGGGACTTTCCAATACAAGCAATCACCCCCTGAATAGCTGTTTTCTGCCTTTTGGTCATGTAGACATGGGAAGAAAGGAAACCATAAATCTTTAAAGGGGTAAGACAGCCCCACTCCCATGGGCACCAACTCTGGCTACCCTGCCTACCCTCTCTCTTAAACAAAATTTACATTTTACTCTTGCCTTGGCATTTCTCAGGTATTTAATCTTCAGCACCCCAGGGGAACAACTACCCCATTCTGACTTTCAAGACCAGTATCACAATCATACATCTAACTATTCATGCTTCCTTCCTTCCCTTCATTCATCATTCATCTCTCCACCTACCTCTTTATCTGTCCATCTGTCTGTTTGTCCACCCAGTTGGACAATGAATCAACATAAACGGAAATCTCCAAGGGGTTAAGTTCTATATTAGGCTCTGGGCATCTGAAATTAAATAAGATCCACTTAAGATAGTTCTCACTTAAGATAGTTCATAAGTGCCGAAGTCCGGCTGCAGCAAGATGGGGGGGGGGTGTAACGAACAACTTGTGTAGATTGATACAGCAGGAGTGGGAGCTGTTTATTGTAGGACAACAGAGGTATTTATACATTACATATAGCTTATCTTAATTAGCATAAACTAGATACAGCAGTCAACCAATAAGGAATCTCCACACTTAATGCCTCGCTGGCATAACTTCACAAACCACTCCCTCTGGCAAAATGCCAGGCGCCATCCTGACTTGTTTACAGACTCTAACACATAAGTTAGGAGAAGTGCTTATACCAGAGAAGTTTTGACATGTGCAGGACTTTGATATTTCTGCTGGCCCTTGGTTCAGTGTGGTTTGTGTCCTTATGATAAGATCAGGGTGGGGCCCTTGGTTCAGCTTGGCTTGTTCCCTTATAAGGAGATGAGGGCAGGGCTCTTGGTTCAGGGTGGTGTTTTGTCCTTATAAGGGGATAAGGGCGGGCCCTGGTTCAGCTTGACTTTTGTCCTTATAAGGTAAAAAGGGTGGGCTTGGTTCAGCATGGCCATTGTGAGGGAATTTCAAAGAGCAGGTATATAAGAGAGTGGCCACCACTGGGTTTTTGTCCATATGTACAGGAAGCTCTTGGTGGTGACCTGTCGGACTCCCAGATAGTTAG